CACTTTATTAAAAATAAGGGTGTATAAATTTCATTAACACAAATGGCTAACAGAAATAAGATAAAAATATAAATCTTATAAATAAGTGTAATTGAAACAAACAATTAATCATTAGACAGTTTATTTTTTCTACTTTAAAGAACCATTTTTAATAGAGATTAAACTACTTTATGTTAAGTTCATATACTTAAAATCTTCTTTAATTAATACAAATAGATACTCAAATAGCTAAAAATATTTATTTAAAATTTAATAAGTATCAGTGTTCAATGTGCTCTTGCGATTTGCATAACAAGTTTAACCACAAGTTTATAAAATTTATATTAACCAACGCAAAATACTAATAAATTATAATTTGGATAAAAAAAAAGTTTAGCATAATAAATGATAATAATACTAATCAAAAAAATACAAAATCACTGCAAAGCATACTTACTTTTTTATAAATTGGCTTAATATTAAAGCCATTATTTATTACAAAAGTAGGAATTCTTTTAAATTGATTTAATCTAAAGAAACAAACGTGTTTTTGTTGGGATAAAACATAGGTTTATTTAATAATTATTATTTATATAACAGACATGTCAAAGCCATCAACCCAATACTGCTGATTGACACGTCAACATCTTTACTGTCCTACAATAATTATTATTGCTTTCAGTTGCATTTTATTTAATTCATAAGAAATATCAAAGATTGTCAATTATTATAAGAACGTTGTATCTAGTGCAATGTGATATATAAATAAAATAAAATATTGATTTATATATTTAATGTTCAAACAATTCTTTTTAAAATTTTTTAACCGTTAAAATGTTATATTGGTTGCAGACAATTTTTTGTTCGATGCAATTTTTAGATTTTGATTTATTGGTAGATCAAGAGAATACATCAGAATACACAAAGGTATTTGAAATTAAAGAATTTTGTGAAAAAGAAGATACACAACAAAAGAGTCAAGAACGGGTGTACACAGAAGATAAAAATTTTTATGAATCTCCACCCAATCTTAATATATTGAATGAATTGGAGTGTTATATCGACATCGTTATAATAATGCATGCAAAAGTGTAGAATGTGATTTTAGTAACTTTTTGTCTTCGATAACTCTAGAAAGCGACTCTCTGCCAAATAGTTGCATAAGTAATACATCCAGTATTACGAAATGTGAAAAACAAGGTTTTACGATGGAATATATGGCTTATGATAATACACATTTTAAAGAATACAATAGTAGTCAAAATAATACGGCTGATTTCTTTCACATAAATACATTTTGCAATAATAATACTAATTTATTTTCTTGTACAACTCAAAATGATT